CCGATGGAGACATGGAAACGCTGCTGCTTTGCAGCTGCGTTACCCTGCTTCCTCGGGCTTGGACCCCTAATTAAGAGCTTGTTTATCCCAGATAAGATAAATGCACATTGGATTAAAACGTTTATAGCAGATTTAAGGAAAATAGAGCAAAATCTACTCACAGTGTCCATTGCCAAAGTGAAGTCTTTTCTCATCAGGATGTTTGGATTTGCTGCGGCAACAAAACCTGCCAATTCAGACAGAAAAATCCGAACTAGTGCCACAGTTTCCACTAAAATTTCACCCACAGGCTCAGCCTAGAGGCTGGTGGGAGACCTGGATGTGTCTGTGTGAAATCCAAGCTTTTATAAGCCCAAAGAGGATCAGTAAGTCCTGTAACGTTCCATGTATTTACTGTATACTCCGTCTGAAGACTGCAGACTGCCAACCTAACCCACAGACCTGCTTTCTCACACACCTGCCCACCAACACACAACCCCTTATAACTAAGGTCAAATGTGAAAAATAGAAATGAATAAAAAATAAATAGATGTTATTCCTTCAATAAATAAATAATAATTAATACATAACGCACAAGCTGARAATGGTTTAAGACAAACCTGCCAATCAGGATGTAGAGCAGGACAGTGAGCAGGATGATGGCCACGGCAGAGGAAACAGCAATTAACACAACCTGGCTGCTCTCACTGGAGATYGAGAAGGCTGCTGAAAGACAGWCAGTGACAGCTGTGTTAACATTGTTTTGATACCAAAAATCAATCACCAGAAGTTTTTTTTTTCTCCAGACGTCTTTATTTAACYACTCATGGCACATTTTCTCTTGTTGAATGATCACTTTTGTCATTTCTCTCTGAAAGTAAATACATTTCCAAAGTTGAAACCAAATGTGAATTGCATATTTTCCGAGAGAAACAGTCCAGAGTTGGGAGAAAAGGATTGGTTCAACATATCAATACTGATGACTTAAAAGCCTTTTTTTCTCATTAAATTTCCTTTTAAAAGCATAACTTCACTATTTGTTAATGTAAAAAAATATACTTATATTGTCTGTGTTTTTGAAAAACAAAAACATAAAAAAAACAAAGACACAACTCTGTGCTGAGCTTACAATCAGGGCTGGTTTCAAACTGAAAGCTGGGGCTGCTGGCTCCATATCCAGCAGCCGTCCGAGCTCTGATCTGCAGCAGGTAGGCCGTGTTGGGCTTCAGACCATTCAGGGTCACATTACATCCCCGAGCACGGAGGATGGTGTAGCTYGTCTCCTGCTCTTCCTGGAAGACGAGGAGGACAATAGAGCAGGGAGAAAATAAACAGCATGTTGAATATTTGCAATTATTTTACTATAGCATTATTCACAACAGGTATGACCTGGATTCATAAGACACACAATGCCTTAAAAAGCAGATGCATGCACATTTTCACACACATGCCTTCAAGCAGTCAACCCAAATAGTTTGACAGCTTCCTCTCCGATTTGATGAATTACGCCTTTTATGCTTTAGGACTTTTCTCCTACTGATCTCTACTGATAGAASAACTGGTAGATTTACACACCACATCTGCATTCAGCACATTGTTTCCAGATGTGCAAAATTTAAAAAAAGAGAACAAAAGGTGAATGAAAGAGTTATAGAAATGTCAAAATATTTACAGCTTACTAAGGGACTAAGAGACCCTTTGTAACCATTTGAAGACAAAAAAACTAAACAGCTTTTATTATGTTGAACTAGTGGAATAATCCTTTAGAGCACAAAAGTAATTCTCATATGAACATAGAATAAAATGATCAAAATTTGTCATTCATATAGTCAAGTTAAACAAGTATTAATAATAATAAAACAACTTCACACTGGTTGTCATTGATGCTGTATTAAATAATGAAACAATCTGCTTAAATAAAACAAAGCTAAAATCGGAAATCTTTCTAAAAACTTAATAGGTAACATCTCAGCAATCCTAAAAGYGAATTAAATTTCTCAATGATGACAAACTCATAAAAGTCATTCAAGGCCAAACCGTTTCTAAGCTCTGTCAAATGCTCATTTTATAGCTCCAGTTATTCACAGATGGTCATTTGAACTGGCAGCGCTCATAAACACAAACACACATGCACGCGCGGGCTGTGTCCGAGAGAACTTCACGCCCATTAATGGAGTGGAGCTTTTACGGTGCACAAAGCTTCTCAAACATGTCCATGTCAGAGGAGGAAAGTGATACACTGAGCTGGCACTGGAACAAGTTTTCATCACAACTATAAATCTCGTGCAGCTTGTCACTGTCCAGTGATTGAGACAACATGTGATCCCCTGAAAATCTCACACAGGTGTGGCACACCTACCTTTGTATGAATGTCGCTTGTGTGTCTGTGCATGCATAGCAGATACGGTGTATTTTACTAGAACGCACAGTCTGTAATTTTAATAAGGCCTCAGTGCTTCACTCTGCTTTGATAATCTAAACAAAGCTGTAGAAAATTACAGCTTGTATAACATATGAATACAGTGCTCACAGTGTGCACACACAGCCATAGATGCACAGCAGAAGCTGTGCAAATCCACCATTTTAACAGGATTCTTTTTGTCTAAAAATCTTATGACAAAACAAACAGCTTAAACAGAAAAAGAAATGTATTTCTTTTTCAGCTCTTTAGATTAGGATGATAAGACTTGCAGTAAATCMACAAAGTGTATTCTCATAAATTGCATTTTCTCAAAGTGCCCTTGTAAATGCCTTTTTGGCTGCAGCACACCCTTTTGCCAGTTAAAGTGACAGAAAAATCACAGCGACCGTATATACTTTCTGAAGATGAAACACCTCTGTTCTTCTGGGAAGCTTTGTGGTCAAGAATTCCCAAGAATATCACCAAACTTTGTGACTATTCCCATATAGTGCATTGGAAACGAAACAACCCTAGGCCCCTAAAACGTAAGACATCCGAGCCTCTAACGTCATGATTTCGAGACGTGGAAACAAAGTCTAGACGGGCGGGAGCAATTTCAGAAATTAAAACATGTCACAAAGTCACGCATAGCCAATGGCCAGAAGGGAGCTGCTTTAAAATATGATTTTAAGCTGGGAATGCAAAGAGGTTCAACTGTTTGACTTAAAAAATATCCTATTAAATCATTTTTATCACTACAAAACACCTTTCAAAACATATTGTTACCTTCTGTCTGATTAAACCTTTAGCATCCCTTTCACTCAAGCTGCATGCAAATACCATTACATCCGTGTGTGTCTCTAAAAGACAAAATTTCCCCATAAGTGCATCTTAATGTGGTCCTGAAGTTTAACATTTCTGATCAAATGTATTTTACTTTGAGGGCCGTGATCCTTGGCATGCTAAGAGTTGTTAGCGTGCCTCTGCTTGCCACACAGAGACCTCTGCATATTACTGAAAGTGGTGGTGGGGGGGGGGGGGTATTCCCCTTATTGTTTGAGTTTCATCTTCTGCAAGGGAGGTCCTTTGGACAAGGGTTTCAAAACACTTGGGTTGAGACCAAGCACCAAAACAAATGCCCAGAAGTTTTGCCTTATATTTATTCTTTATTTGCACATGAAGATTTTCTGTCATTTTATAATTATTATGCATTTGGAGAACATGTGCAACAGTTTTGGCTGGCAATTAGACGTGCAGTGAGCTCTGACCCCCATTTCACTCAGAGTTTTTTCTTTTTTTGTTTTTTTGTTTTCTAAGCATTGCTTTGGTATCTAAGGGGAAAACAGCAAAGCATAGAGCAGAGTTTGCAAAGAAAACAGCTTCTGGCAGCCTACTAATCAGGAAATTAGGGGCCGCTGTTGGCATTCAAGCAATATGATCTGGGGCACGCTCATATTCACACATATGCACATAAAGAGACACGGAATCAGCCAGAGTGATTAAACTTGCATCCGCGGCTAATTACACCATCAAATGTCAACCTTAGCACGGCACCGGTGCTGAAAGCCAGTGTAATTCATTCTGCACTAATTTCTCTCACAGAGGAATGAGGGACCCCACAGATGCATTTACTGTCTGCCATAAAACTTGTCTTCATTAAAGAGCTACTTGCAGAGGAGATCAGCGTGAGGGTTACAAGGGAAGATGGCAACTGGAGATGAAGAGGAAAATCAAAAGGACAKGAGGTAGGTGTAGAAAAATGACAACAGACTGACAACCATAAAGAAAAAAAAAGGAACAAAATAAGCAAAGTAAACAGATTTTGGTTCCTAATGAGCGATAATTTAAAACAGGAGTGTCCAAAATTGGTCCTTGAGGGCCACAATCTGCAYGTGTTTCTGCATGTTTGTGATCAAGCACACAAAACCGTCAGATCATCAAGATCTTTAAACTGCTGGGAAAAAAAAAAAACGTTCCATATGGTATATCTAACAGCATTTAGTTTACAATAACTTAACACAAAGACTGGCAATAAATAAATAAGCCTTCTTAGAACAAAGCTAAGCTTTGAGCTGAATTTAGACAATAATTAACAGTATTCAAATCCCAGAACACATAAAATCAAAAACAGAAAAAAGCAGAAAATCCAAAATAGCTAATTTTACCAAGCAATAACTCAAAAGCCTACAGTGCTAATTAACAGTTAAAAAAGCTTCAAAAGTGGTATTTTCAGCACCAACCTTTTCATAGTATTTAATCTCGTAGTCCAGGATGATACCATTGGGTCGTTCTGGTTCCTGCCAGGAAAGGGAGACACTGTTTCGGGACGTCTTCTCCTTTCGGATCACTGTTACTCGAGAGGGAGCTGGGCAGGAGGCGCAGGTCGACAGAGAGTGAAGCAGGAAGAGGGAGAGGAGAAAAGTCTGTTAAAATAAAATTCAGTGAATGTTGAACCCCTGTGTTGAATCCTGGACGTTGTTGTTTATCTATAGTACCTGTTCACCTAATTCCGTTTGATGCCTTGTAACAACGTGTTATAAACTGTGGAGTGAGGAAAACGACCAAGACTAAGAATAAACCTTGTAGATTCATAATAAGAAAAGAAAATACATATAAATTCTGAAAATTTTGATTTATGCAAGCAATATTTTGAAAATTCTGAAGGTTTATTTATGTGTTATTCATTGAAAGAAGAAAAAAAATAACAGTAGTGCAATGGTTTGTCCTTCAGCAGATATTTCAATTATTCAACCACATTTTTTGGAAAACATCATGTTTTATTTTTATAACCATATGAACGTTTATTTCTTGCCTTCCTCTGCTGTCTTCTTCTCTTTTGGATCGGTGCATTCTCTTTTTGCCAGTTTTAATTTTTTTTTTTTTTTTTTTTTCAAATCTTCACCCATTGCCTCACCCCAGGGAGTTCAAATAGTCCCAATCTAGTAATTCAGCCCATCTCTCTTTCTATCAAGCCTCCTTCCTCGGTCTTCTCCTCTACCCTTCTCACTCCCTTTTCTCATTTCCCTCTTTTACTGCTCTCTAATTGCCAAGCAGCTCTGGGGCCAGCTCAGCATCTGAGGCATCAACTTTTAATTTTATTAGACCACAGGAAAAAACATGTTTGTCTTTGAAATGTTCAAGCCTCTCTTGATTATGATTATATGGCCGCAGAATGCGTCTGAGTGTGCGCTCATATACTTGTGTGTATTTCCGCGGGAAGTTATTTTTTCTCCTGTAATGAATCCAGATGGGGAGAATCTGTTTCTGCCTCCCCCAACCCACCACCTCCCGCGTAACTCCTCTCCCCCTCCCCTCCCTTTGGCTCTGACAGTGGGGTGAGGCTGTGCTTTTTATTGGCTCTGTGGTTTATGGTGGTAATGATTTACTGAGTCTGGGTCGCTTGGAGGCAGCTTCAAGTTCCTCTCCTCCCTGTTTTCTTCTCCATGCTTCCCCTTCTATTTTTTTCTCTACAAGTCCATCGCCAAGTACTTAATTTGCTGTCATTCTCTGTTTCTGTCTGAGGGACAACTGTAAAACTGATGCAGCATAACCAGTCCTGTAATGCTTTTAAAAACTGGTCCTGATGATTCATTTGTGGTTTGAAGTCATTGTTGGAAAGAATKTTAGAATGGCATTCAATGTCCTGATGGTTCATAAATGATATTGATTCAGATCATTTAATCGTACTAGATTGACGAGCTAATGGCTAGTTTGAGGGACGCTAAGACAAAAGTGAATCACTGCTGTCCTAAAACAATGACAATCAAACATGTGATATCATTTCATGCAAATGATAGTTCATGCAAGTGTAAAGTGATTGTTTTATTTTTATTTTTTAATTATCCATTATTTAACCAGGCAAGTCCTGTTGAGATCTCAGATCTCTTTTTCAAGAGAGGCCTGGGCCTGAAGGCAACCTATTGTATATGTTTTTTAGAGGTGGGGGAAACCAGAGTACCCGGAGAAAATTCACGCAAGCACGAGGAGAACATGCAAAATCCGCACAGAAAGACCCCAGGCCCAAACTGGGAATTGAACCCATGACCTTTATGCTGTGTGGTGCTAACCACTGAGCCATCCTGTCTTTATAAACCTTTACATTGCCCAGAGTTTTGCATGTCACACTTTTTCTTTTATGTATATATATATATGAGAGTCAAATAGCTGCATTTACAACAATTGAAACCCTCCTGTTGCAGCCTACGGCACATTGATGGTTATGTATAGTTTCATAAAACTGCTAAGACTTTTTATCAGATTGAAGTTGTTTTAAGGTGGCAGTAACCCACTCTGGTCTTGGCCACACTCAGCTGTTAGCTCATAAATCTGGTCTTAATTGAACCTTATTTCTTCAAACTGAGGATTGTTYCAGAAGCAATTTACAAGATATTTGCTCAAAAATATTTCTTTAGGAACCTACTTTACTCTGATTGTTTTTGAACCCCACCCATATGTACAGTATGTATATTTTTCTTATGAAAATCACTCAGCATAGGTCAACTGCAGTTGGATGTTTTCAGCTGTGTATGTATGGAATCATATGTTGTTAGCATAGCAATGACTGCAAGTGGAGGGTAAAGGAGGTGAGAGGAGGAGAACTACTTGACAGCACCTTGACAGGCCAGCCAGGGCACAGTGCTCCTTCCCAGGAAAACACTTAATCCAGCTTTTAACAGCTTTGGCATCTATATATGTGTGTCTCTGTATTTGTGAGTGTGAGTGTGTGTATTTGAGAAAAAAAAAGTGTAGACGGGTGGGACTGGGGCACTGACATACCTAATCCTTGTAAACTCTGAGGGCTGAAGGAGAGTGTGCAGCTGCAGGCTGAGATATTTGTTCGRCAGCAAAGGGACTGTGAGTGTGTCTGTTGACAGTGGTGGGTAAAGTGTTAAAGTGTGTGTGTGTTCTGTCATGTAAGTGTCTGCTGATCAGTGATGTAAGATCCCTCTCTTCTGATTGCTCAAACATTAAGATGCTTTTCAATATTCTCAGCACACACAGGCCTCTTCTTGTTGATAAGCCTTCTTCAAATCTAATATATATTCAGATTGAAGAGAATCCCCTCGACTAACAACTCAGATTATAATGCAGATTATAATGCTCGCTAAAAGAAGACTAAAGCTTTGCTAAACTGGCTTATCTTTCTCATTTGGATTGTTTTTTTTTATTCTTGTTTTTTAATCTCCTCTGACCTTTATTCTCATAGAAATAAATCAATTGTCATTTATTTCCTTAAGTTGAAACGTATGTGCACTCCTGTGAACCAATACTCACACACAAATATGTTCCACTCATTCCCATTTTAAAACTTTAAAGGCATTAAAAAGGGGGCCACGTCTTTCACTTGTCACATATAATAAAGCCCAGATGTGACAACACAGCACAAACAATAGAAGATATGAATCAATAAAGTTATATTTCAAGTTGGCACATTTTGGATGTTATGTTGTACATTACACATAAATAAATACATATATGTGGGGCATCCAAGAAGCACACGAATCTACACAAAGATGCTTAAGTGTATCTTTTGTGTTTTCTTTGTTTTTTACAGGTTTTTTATAATAATTTTAGTGCAACAAATTTTACATTCCTTCTCTATCTACTTAGTTGTTGAGTATACAAACCTCTCAACTTTAATTTTAGTAAAAATGTCTTCTTTAAATGTCTTTTTTAGGACAGAAAGTCTATGCTATGCTAAAGCCACATCGTTACTGAAGTGAACTTAAGTTGTGTAAGAAGTGCAAAATGTTTTTTAATGAGTCCCATTAAGTGTAAAGAGAGAGTTGATGATTTTCTTTTATTATTTGTTTGCTCAGCWTGCAGATAGGTTTTATGTTGTATTCTTGTGAAGTCAACACTTTTTTAATTCACTTTTAAATGTCCTCAGTGACTGACTTATTAATGCCATAGATACTGAAACTCTATGTGCTCCTGCAAAGTTCTTGTTGGTCTTAAAACACAAATATTACTCAATATCATGTAAACAACTTCTTTACAAAACTATGCAAGTGCATTTGTGATTTATTAGTATTAGCATTTCTAAATGATCATCTGCAGCATCTTCACTTTTTTATAATGTAATACTGTTTCTCAAAACTTGCTGCTACTCTCATTTCAGCAGCAYCAACTGCAAGCTATGAACAAATCTCACATTACTGGTCCCAGTCCCAGTCCAGTTTTCCCCCTCACTTTAAACACGGTTTATGAAGTAAAATAGCAACATGCAGACAAGAAAAAAAAGCTTAAAGTGCATTTTTGAATACTTAAAGCTTTCATGACAACCATCCTTGGACCACTCAGCTACATTTTTGCCATTTACCTATCATCAGTAAAATGATGGAGTTGGATCTCACTGTTTGCCACCKTTTGGGAGAGGCTCCCATCTGTTCATTGTGGGAAAAAAAGGAACAACCTTTCAAATACTAAATCACAATTTAAGGCTTGGACGAAAAATGCCATTAGGAAAGACTCGAGAAATTTGTACATATATGGAGAATTACTAGATGCGGTTTGGCTGTGGAAAAGGACAGGTAGGAAGAAAAATGACTTGGTGTTCAATCAGAGACAAGGAGGAAAACACCAGAGAGAAACTAAAACACTGAGATGAAATCGTTGAACTGTTGACACCAAATACAAAGGCCAACTGTGTAGGAGCAGAATGATGGGGAGGGGGAAAGGAAATTTAAGTTAATGAACTAGAGCTAGACCTTTGTGCATTCCCTGCTCGARTCAGGGATTTCTGAGGTTTTGGCACTTTTTACTGCGGTTAGATTTATCTTGCCCTTGTATTTCACAACACTATTTCCCCCTGCCTCCTTATTCTTTTAAGGACTAGATGTGAGGAGAGATATTTGTATAAAAAGGATTGATGGGAGTTTTAGGAGACCATCCTCACATTAAAAGACTCTGTTAAAAAGAAAAAATATATATTTATTTTGCATAGGAGGAGGTCATTGGATCTTGGTCATTAAACAAGAGAATAGTGGTCTGGGATCAGCTTGTAAATGTCCAGGCCTGATGGCTGGAGCACATATGTTGAGAACATATAAAACACTGACTATTATCATATGATAAGAGTTGTAAAGACGGTAAATATAAGAGTTGTTAAGATGGTAAAATATAGCGAGGAGTATTTGCCTTTAAAGATGCTGGGCAGCTGTTGTTTATACTTTAATATATGATCATAATTTAAGATGGTCTGTGTTTATAAGTCATACTTCTAGGTTTGCTTATAGGTTAAACAGCTCAATTTTCAGTGGCACAACTTTGAATAAGTTGATATAATGTAAAGCAACACCAGAGTTGTAAAGTAACTTAGTACAAATACTTTGTTACTTACTTAAGTAGAAATTTTGGTTATCTGTATTTTACTTGAGCAATTATTTTTCAGAGGACTTTTTACTTTTACTCATTACATTTTTACACAATTATCTGTACTTTCTACTCACCATGTTTTTTAAAAGGGTAATAAATAGAAAATGGTTGCTCCTATTTTATTCTGAGTTATTACTTAAAAAAAATACTATCCTGATAAAATGTCTCCTGGATAGAGTGAATTTAATTGTGGTTGGATGAGAAGTATAAGTATATACCATTCTGACACAGTATTAGCTTGTAGACACCCCCATCAGCTGCACAACTTTAGAAAAAAAAATTTTTTTTGGAGAAGTCACCTCCCAAAAAATGTAATTTTGGAAAATCTAACAGCTCACTTTTACTCAGTACTTTTACTTKTAATACTTAAGTAGATTTTGTGTCAGAAAATTACTTTTGATGTATAAAAAGTACAAAAAAATCATCTACTTTAAGACTTTTACTCAAGTAATGAGAAGAGTTTAATTTTTACCAAAGTAATTTTATGATAAGATACTTGTACTTTTACTCAAGTATCATTTGAGGTACTTTATACAACACTGAGCAGTACTTAGAGATAATGTGGCATTCCTTGTATTTTGAATCATCTCACCTGCTTGATTGGTGGTGATGGTGACAGCGGCGTACTGTCTCATCTTGGGTGCCAGCGACGACACGCCATTCTGTGCTTCAATCTCAAACGTGTAGTTCGTATGGGCCAGTAGGTCGCCCACTGTTACCGTGGTGTTTTGGAGGCCAGTGGATTTTGGCAGAAAGTGAACGTTGCTTCGGCAAGGCTCACAGTGGGTGCCGCTGTTGCTGCCATTAGCAGCACCGCCCCGGCAGCGCTTGCAGACGACATTAAATGTGATATCCCTGCGTCCCCCGGCGTCCTCTGGCCAGCTCCAGTCCAGGATAACTGAAGTCTCATTGATGGAGGAGATCACGTTCCGCGGAGGAGAAGGAGGACCTGAGGAAAAAGAAACAGAAAAAAAAGAGGTTGATGAGGTCATTTGATTAACAGATGGGGGAAAGTTTGGGTAAAGTGACAGAGAAGTGCGGCATCATGGGAGAAGAAAAAATGTATCCATAATTTTAGCAAACTGATGTTAGATGGAACACAGTTTTGCCAAAAAGGAAGTATTCATATAAAATTGTTTTTCAGAAATAGTATTCTGTTTAATGTTAGTTTCGCTTTGCATATTTTTTTCACACAGAATATTAAAGCGGCACATTTGAAGACAATTGTAATCTTTTGCTAAATGAGCAAAAAAAAAAARAAAAAGAAAGCACATAGGATTTTATAAAACGTATATGTTTGTCCTATTTACATTGCTTTCTGTTTAAAATTGTATTTGCAGAGGATAATGGTGTTTTTGATAATTATTCTTTACTCGATTAATATACTGTCATACTTATAATACCTTCGGTGTACTTGCATCTTGTTAAAACAATAAAACAATAAGTAGTCTAAATACAGTATGTCAAAAATAAACTATGGAGTCTTGAATGTGTAATAATTAAACTAATTATGGGTACATTTCAGCTCAAGAAAACTTCTGAAACAKATTTTAGTACAGTAAAAATATTTTTGCCTTAACGTTCTAACATCATGTGTTCACTCCTCTCTCTGTTTGTGTGGCAGAGACAACAGCACGTCACCAAATTAAAAAGAATAAGTCAAACAATAACTGATATAAACAGATTTCTCAATTTTTTGAACAGCATTTTGACAAATGCACATAAGACAAAAGGAAAGTCCCAAACTACTCAGCTTTATACCGAGCAAGCATGGAAGGAAAGACGTGCTAAAAGCTTTCTGGATCGACTCTGCAAAAAAAGTAGTTTGTTTCACAACTTTACTTCTGCCTCATACTGTGGTCAACTCCTGTCTTGGTCATTTTTTTTTTCTTTTCCATGGTGTTTTTGGTAAATGTTTGAAAAGAATAAGAAGCTTGGAAAGTATGTAAAAACACCCACATGAGAATCAGAAAGATAAAAAATGTTATGAGTATGCATAGCATAAATCTATATAAGTATTTTTATGTTGAAAAAAGTACTAATATACCAAGTCAGAAAGCCTGTAATACACTTCATCACCTATTTACAAGAGAAGCAAGTGCAAATAGCTCTAAAATACACTTAATACTGAGTTATTAATATTAAAATAATATATAAAATCAAGGTCAAATAGGTGTCTTTTCTCTGGCCTTTGAAAGAAGCGTTTTGCTCCACAGCTTTGAGATTAAAAAAAAGAAGTACTACAGTCCGTCTTTGTGCCTCTCAGCAAGGTGCACTGGCTCATGTTATACAGTACCCGTTTGTGCCAATTTAGAAACAGAGCAGGGGTTTGAAGGAATGTGTCGATGTCTTTAAAAGTGATGAAAAAAGAATTCCTTTGAGCGAACAAACTGCACTGTTTAAACTGCTGATACCAACATCTTTCACGCGGAACACAAAAGTACGGCACACTTGAGTATTTCTCTCTAATTGTCCGCGTTTAACATTCTAATTTTCTCTCTGCCACTTTAAAATGTTCTCGCCAACATTTTCAAATTYCCTGAGTCAACTTGAAACAGCCCCTATCAGGCCGCTAACAGCAAAACCCCTCTCCTGAGATAATCATGATCATTATCGCCTAACAACTCATCTATTCATTTTCATCTCTTGTGCTGCTCCAACTGTCCCAGTGAGGTGAAATTTGCGTAGTTGACAAGATGATGTCGAGATAATCACAACAGGGACCTCGCGTGACTGTCTTTCTAATTAGGATTCTGTCTATGGCTGTAGGCCGTGATTTATATTTTCTACTGTTCTCCACACAGCCCGCTTTGTAACGGATGTATACATAATCTACCAACAGGGAATGAAGTGATTTATAGTTTTAAAGTGGAAGCTTTTTTGAATGTGTGCAAGGGACACCTGCATCTGCAAGCCATTTGCATGAAATTGAGGCAAGAGAGAATTGCAAAAGGAGTGGAGTATGTCTGCTTAAACTGTTGGATGTTTTTTGAATTATTTTTCTCTAGTTTGTTGTTTGTACAATAAACTAAAGGAGGGGTGTCTAATTCTGGTCGTCAAGGACTGCTAAGCTGGATGTTTTTTCTTTTCCCCTTGCTTCTACACACCTGCGTCTGTGACTGAATTACCTCGTTAAGTTCTGCACAAACCTGTTAATCACCCATTCATTCAAATCAGGTGTGTTGGAGCAGAAAAAACCTCTAACACGTTTTGCAATACAAAACATAATACAGGGAAATGTGATTATTGTGGACAAAATGAAACCATGGCACATGTTATAAAAGAAGAGAGACAATTTATGATAAGACACTTCAGAAACATTTAGGAAGGTTTGACATAATAGACACATTACAAAGGAATTTAGGGAACAAACATATACAAATCATGATATCATTTTTGAACAAGACTAAATCGTTTAACAGAATTTGAGTTTGATAGTAGTTTTTTGTATTATTTATTTATTTATTTATTTATTTATCTATTTATTCGTTTATTTATTCATTCATTTATTTATTTTCTTTGAATCAATACCTTTGAAAATGTAAAAAGAAACACAATAATAGTAGTAGTATATAAACAATGGGCCTCATGCAAGAACATGTTCGTATTCTTATCCTAAATTTCTTTTACTTTTGTTCGTACAAAGGGTTCGTGCGAACATGCCACGTCAGATTCAACAAACTCTTCTATCTTCAGGAAAAGTGTGTAAATGAGCTGCGTGAATTCCACCTGTTCGTATCCAGCTGCTCGTGCACGCGAGAGGAGATTAGCATAATTACCACCCCAAAAACACCATATAAGGCTATGTTTCCTGCCTCAGATATGAGGAAGTGTCCATTCATGAAAATGACAGCGAAAACTAAAAAGAACTTTACGAGTTCAGAGATTGAAGTCCGTCTGTCAGAGATCCAGAAAAGAAAATCTGTCATTTTTAGCAGCTCAGCTGTGGAATAAAAAGAGCTGCTAAAAGTATAAACAACTATGTTAAATCATTTTCATTTATTCAGAAGACACAGCGCTGCGCACCGTGCCCCCCACCCCCGCGCGCTGCACGGTCGCAGGTGGTCTCAGATGTGGGCTTGAAATAAGCATTTTAAAATGTTTTCAAAATAWGTCTGGCACTTTGGAGAAAATCAAGGACTCGCTGGAGGGATTGTGTACCCCCACTGGCCTGGGAACGTCTTGGAGTCCCCCAGAATGAGCTAGAAAGTGTCACTGGGGAAAGCGGGGTCTCCTGCTGCYCCCACACCCGATCCCAGATAAGCGGCGGAAAAAGGACGAACGGATAATTTATATCGTAAGTCTAAATTATTACATTTAAAATTATAACTCTAATTCAAGCAGAATAGCCTATTGTCAASATAATTATGGAGTGTGATTTATTTTCAACTCAAAATATCTTCAAACTAACGAAATATAAAGTTATTAGGGAGGAAAACCCRTCTGGATAACAGCAGACTGACTGCTCGTAAAATATACGACAGGTCTGGACCACTCGTGAATATTGTTCGTTTCTGAAAAAAATCGTAGAATACGAAAACATTGGTGAATGCCACAAATTCTCCTAAATTACTTGTACGCACAATGTAAGAACCAATCTGTGCATACGAACATTTCTTGCATGAGGCATATTAGTGAAATCATCTTGAACCACACTCCATACCAGTAGGTGGCGGTAATGCACAACTTCAGTTTATTGCCAACCACCATTAAACACCACAAGAAAAAGAAGAAGAAAAACCTCTAAAACAAGCAGCTAGTGGCCCTCAAGTACCACGAGTGGAAACCACTGAACTAATAAGTCAAATAAAAAATTTGAGTGACAGTGTTGAACTTATGAGGAACTTGAGCTTTGTTTGATAGAACATTGCTGCAATGTGCTAAATAAGGTTTCTGTTAGACCACCTGCAAAACTTCCTCCCTTTGGAAAGCATAAAAAACACAAAAACTTCCAGAAAGTCATCCTACAAATTGTATAAAATTAAAATCCATGAATATTTAGAATTCAGCCAAAAACATATTCATAATGAGGTTTCAAACACTTACGAGTGCATGCCATAGAGGCAGGGTCCCCGTCAGCTCGAAAGTAGTTTTTCTCACAGCCACAGTGCAGTGACCCTTCATGGTGGGAGAAGCTATGAGGCGGACACTTTGAACACTCCATGTTGCCGAGGGACGATTTGTAGAAGCCTGCCCTGCACGCTGKAAACAAAAGAACACAGACAGATACGTGAGCATCATGCTGAACCAGCACATCGACAGCTATATAATAGCTGGATTCTTCTTGAGGGCGACTACAACAATAACAAGTGAGAAATGAAAGATGGAGAGCGGTTAATGTGGTTACTCTGTCACACACACAAGGAGTGTGGGGACAAAAACATTGAATGTACAGTAAATCTGCAGGTAATATAACAGAGATCCACCGAATGCTTGTTCAACATTTTTTTTTTCTGAAACATCTTCGTCTCGGTTTCTTTCTATCCTGAGCTCTCAGAGGGCACAACATGAATAATGCAAATTGTCCCTCAGATAAAAGGGATGTTCTCTTTAAATATYTGTGGTATTAAATCTGCATTCAGCAGCTCTTTTGCCTGATCTTCAACACAAATATGTTCCAATTCGTGCAAGTATAGTGACACTTTGCCACAGATATTGCATTTGTTATAAAGTGTAGCAGAGAACATCAAGGAGAAAAATGGAGGAGAAAAAAGATGTAATGTTTCCTTTGCTCAAACCTTTCATTGCCTATTTTGTTTCACTTTAACTTACAAAAGGCTTATTTTGTCTCCTTTGCTAAAGAGTGAAGTCATTGTCTTTTTTTTATTTTTACTCGCTGTTGGAATAAGATTTATTTAAGTCTAGTAAAACTAGCCTATTGCTTTATTGTAAAAAAATAAAAAGTTTAAAAAAAAACTTAAGAATGAAGCAAAAAGCGATGTAAAGTTTTATGTGTATAGCACATTTATTTTTGTTCAAGCTTTTTTTACACAGCTTAAGCAAAAAAGGAAGCATATGTATTTTTTTTCTAAAGTTTCACCAAGATGATTCCCTAATAATAAAATTTGATAATTGCACAACAAATTACTCATTAAGTTGGTTTAACAGAACCACATGTTGACTAATAAGCAGTGAGCAAAGACAGATCTTTATTAAAATTCTAATTTGGACGTGTCACATCGTTGTGACCCTGTTGCACGCTCACAAAAAGGCATGTTTTCTTTCTCTTTCTAACACACATACACACACATGTGCATGATTAAAGAAATAGCTAAGAGCAACAGCAGCAAGCCAACAGAATGTGTGAGCTCAGCAGAACAGGCCTGACAGATCCCAGTGGCAGACAGCAGACTTCTGCAAAAGCCAACACTGCTGATATTACTGCCATATCCATCACTGACACTGCTACACCAAGGTCCCTACGCTGCACTAAATACTCAACAACATGTATGTGTGCGTGACCGTGTGAGTGCGGGCATGCTCCGCCGTGTGAGAGTAATAGAATTTGGAGTGGGTTTAAATAGCTCAGTGTAGTCCCACTGACGGAAYGACAACCGCAGCACTTGCTGACACACAAAGCAGACCACCCTGATAGGAGGACGCAACGGGAAATTAGACCTGACAGCCAGAACCCCTGGCCAATCAGGTAACCCAATCAGCAGGATGGTTTCTGCATTATAACTTTAATGCACAGGAAAAATGAAAGAGAAATCACAAATGGCAATTAACTGGATAAATGTCATGAAATCTACAGGGAATTTTGTAAAAAAAAAAAAGTTCCACCTCAGGATTTCAGCCCTGAACAACTCAAGTAAAAATAATAATAATAATAATACTTTAGTTATAGTCATTGATTCGTTGAAGTTAAGATCAACTTGATCTTTTTTAGTTACCGTAAGTTAGTTTTAGGCCACGTTCACACTGCAGGTCTTAATGATCCAAACTCCATTTATTTCTGCATTTGCATCAGACTTCACTGTGAACCCCACTCAGCCTTGATGCGACCCGCATGTGCATAAAAATGAAGCAATGTCACGTTCATCTCCTTGTTAACAGAATGTATTTCAATTCTGACGTTGCTGTGCATTCAGATCTGATTAAAACATTWATGCAACGTGCTTGTTAAGTTCACTGTTTTACATTTTAAACGTCTGGTAAGCTGCTCTGGTGCAGCATTTTGTTTTTGGAATGGGTGTGCTGTGCTAAAGCTAAAATATCAATTTAGTAACTTTAGCATCAATGTGGTTCCAGATTGACAATACATTTCTGTGGATTCTCAGTCTTCCAGGACATGGAAAATTAAACAAAAAAAGATGAAGCAACTTGACTTCTGTTCTGTAGCTGAAGATGTGTGGAGCTACAAGATTTAATGTAAATAAACAAATACTTAGAATGATCTGCTAACCCCCACTTCACTGATGTAAAAGTCAGATGAAATGTGACATGAGCGCTCAGACCGCAGTAGCTTTGAAAAACATCAGAAATGTATTCAATTTAATACCACATACTGAAAAGGCCGGGGTCAGATTTGGAAAAAATCAGATTTTTCATGTTCAGACTGGGCCACAGAGGGGCAAAAAATCAGACTTGTGTTGCATTTGCCTGCAGTGTGAACATAGCCTTGTTTATGTCATGTTGGTTCTCCATGATAAAAGTGCCTCCTCAACATCAAAGGTTGAGTAAAAATAAAAAACAGGCACATATACTGTAGTACCTAACAAACATTTGCTGCAAAGATAAATGACTTAGGTKTGCACATGACAAAGAATTGATATGTCGTAATTTCATGACCACAACCCTAAAGTATATTATAACTGACAGAAAGGGATCATAATAGTTCTGTTTCTTTAATGCGCATCAGCCAGACTAAAGAGCAGCTCTGACAGGGACTGATGGTAAAATCAGATTTTGTTTGTAGGAGGTTGTCTCCTCATCTTAGGGGGAACCGAGATGCATTAAAGCAACATCACTGCGTGCAAGGACCTGAGCGGGGAGCATAATAACTTTTGCAGAAGCGTGCGTGCGTGCCTGCTCCTCTTTAACGTCAGCGTATGTTTGATTAATTAAAAGATGTGAGAGTTTGTGCTCTTTTCCTTATGTTGAGACATCAGTGGATTCAGTCATGTGGGGATTTGGCTTTCTCAAAAGTAAAATCGGATTTACAACTAAAGAAGACTTAGATTAATGTTAGGGTCATACATAAAAATATATTACTGCTCCGACAGAAGGGGAACGAACGCGGGAGTAAAGAGAAATGGGAGAATTGTTTTGTTTGGAGAATCCTTGACTAATTTTCAGTAATGGGACAGTTTGTTGGGACTACAGAGCTGTTCCTATACTCTTATGTCTTTACATACACATAACCTRTGGCCCAAGCTATTGCAAATAATCACGCACGTAGCTGTTACAGTGTCTTTTCACTTTCTACACAATGGCACATGTAACACAATAACTTCACTCGGTCGACCCACAAACACACACATGCAAAGCTGCAGCAGTCGCAGGATTTGATGGCTGTAATTTAACTTTGGCCTCAGTTTGCTCAATCAATAGTGTAAGTCACAGGACACCCTCATCAATAATGAACATGACCGCTCAATGCTTTTGTGGTCACAAGATGTCTTTCTTTGGTAAATACTGTAATGACCTCATCCAAAGCAAAGATATTTCATGTCTTTTTTTTCCTCCAGAATCTGCCTAAAAACTGCTGTAACTTAATATATGTAACTATTTTGCAATGACTCTGTCTTCGTTCCTTAAAGGGGGTGTATATTATGCAAAATCAACCGTTTTGGAGCTTTATATCATGTTATAATGTCATTCCCTCATTAAAAACACACAAAAAAAAAACATATTCAGAGTGTTGCTTAGGCTCATTCATGCATGTTTGAGAAATCATTTTATCTCCTGTGGTAGCCATACGGAGCTGCCTAAATGCKTGCTGGTASAAAGCTCCACCTTTTTACACAAAGCTCCGCCCTGAAGCTAAGYCCCACCTCACAGAGCACCCCTCCTCTGAAGCATTGTTGTGACGATGTGCTGAAGTGGGAGTGTCAAAYACAGTAGGAGGTTCTTAAAGAGACAGAGGCCAGTTTCAAGACATTTAGTTAGGCAATGATGCAAAGTCAAGTTCATTTTTGATAAATGAACCTTTTTTATWGCAACTGAAGGTAGCATAGTTACTTAATCGYGGTATAGAATTAAACTRYGTGCCTGGAAAATACATAATACCCCTCCTTTAAAAGGTCGACAWAAAAGTCAAATACTTTCAGGATTGAGTATTATTGCAACTAAATGAAATGTTTCAAAATTAGTCTAAAATAATAGTGCAGTAAAGTGTTTTTCTATTGAGTAGAAGTTATGCATACATAAAGATAATCCTGACTGTTACAGAATAAAAATTGGATTGGAATTTTTAATTTTATATTTTTTTAATAGGCAGTGTTTGACATAAACGTGATTAATCAGCATCGTACATCTCACATGGCTCCCGTTCAGATGAACCTTGATCCCACTCATTACATGTAAACTGAGTAATGACACAATGAAAAAGTACCTCTGTCCCTGACCCTCATAATTATACCTGCTTGAGCCAAAAACTCCAATCTTAGTTCTGATCTTCTTCACACACGAAGGTTCAGTCTCACTGCAAACTGCGCCAAACCAAAAAGGCAACCCCAACAACGTGTTTCCTGTTTCCATACCGCCCCGGCTTCTTTTCTCTTTCAATTTGACAAAACTGCAGAGACTTTTTAGTCTCTCTCTCTCTCTCCACCTCTTCCACACCTCCCCCATTTCCTGCACTTCCTCTTCCACCGCCTTTCTGTGGGTTTTCCTTCCCTTTATGCTGCTCCATCCGTATTTCCTTAATTGGGATAGCTCTCTTTGAAATGGAAAACTCATTTACTTTGACAGCTCAGGCTGGCAGTCTTATCCGGAGCTGGTTGTAATGTTTCTGGAAACATGGCAACAGTAAACATCATGCCCCCCGCCTAGATATCTCCACTGGGGCCAACAGTAACAAGTTCCAGAAGCCTGAAAAAGTTCAAAGTCTTTTATGAAGCATGTTTGGATGGGATTTTTTTTTCTCAGTTTATTTAAAGTTTTTTTATCATGTTGCATTAAACTATTAGCTAAATTAAGAAAATAATAGCCATATGTTTCAAAATGTGACTATTATTCCTATTTAAAACCATATAAAT